GTATTCAGGTCCCCCGTATTGTGACCAGTGAACCAATGCAAATAAGAGCTACTGAAAGCAATAGTTTATTAGATCCTGTAGTCTGAAGTGCGTTTACATAATGTATTTGTTATTCAAAATTAATTCCTGCTTTACAGATAATTCATGAATAGAATAAAATAGTTAAGTTAGGAAAATACTGCACTTGCTGCAAACTCAAATGATAAGACATTTTTAAAAGTCAACTATATTTTCCCATACACTCTAGTTTTTATATGCTCTTCTTTTGTATTACCTGGACTTTCTTTTTAAAATATATCATTCGGCATGCTAAAGTCTTATTATTTCCTTAGGTAATGCAAAATTAAAACAGTTATCGGACAGAAAAATCTGTTTAACGTTAGGCAATCAGCCAATTTATGACTTTTAAACCATGTTGTCAAGGCAACTTTTTCTTCTTATCTTCAGGAGAGCATTCCTGCTGAAATTTTACATATTCTTTTGAACCAAGACTAACAGTAATAAAAAGCTTAACAGTATTTAACATTGAGCTACGAAGTCTCATCAGTTATTTTTTATGGCTACATAGCCATTTGCATATTTTGCATTTACTTATTTTTCAGTTTAACTACAATGCTGTTTAGTTACTATTAGATGAAAACTACAATAAAGAGCAGACATTTTAATGTTAAGGTTTGGCTGCTGCTACTACTACTACTTAAAGCATTTTATAACACAAGATGTGGCTATGCAGCTTTGAAATACTACACTTATTTTTAGTGTCTTTTGCATGGCATTAGGTTTTCAGTATGTTTAAGAGTTAGGTTTCATGAATTTCATGAGCCTAGCCCTACTCCCATTGAAATCAGTGGCAGAATTACCACTTACTTCAATGGAAACAGTTTCAGCATCTTCAAGACTGCTTTTTTTCACAGGCACTTATCTTCATATTTGTGTCAAATAACTCTGATTGTACTCTTTTTTTTTTTTGCTGGTGTAAACCGATTGATTTTAATGCAGTTATTACCTGATTTACATATGTATAAAAGACAAGATGATCTGTCTGAAAAATTACAGATCCTCAACTTTCAGATCAGATGCTAAGATGATGGATCCTTTATGTTAGTTGGTGAGCCATGCAGAAGCGTACTTATTGACAGCAGTGCTAGACTACAGGTGAAGTTGGCTACCTTATTCTACTTCCTCTGTAACGCTGCAGAGAACCTATTTGGCATTTACGTGTAACTTCCTCCAAAATATTATTCCTACCCTGAGTAGTAACAGAAGGCTTCTGTTAGGCTTACTGGCTATTTTAAGGAAGTGAAAAAATACACTGCAGCTGGCTGTGAATTTTCTGATGAAATGCATCCTTACTGAAAAATTCTGATCTGTTGAAGCCAATGCCTGTCATAGGAAATTGTATGTTTTTAAAAATGTTGAACTATTTCATTTTCAAAAAAGTAACCTTTTCCCATCCACATGCTAATTACCTACGGTGCGTACATACCAGTAGTATACTTTGCATACCCTTTTAAGACATCCACAAGGGATATTCCACTCTTCCTTTATGAATTAGTTTGGCGTTTCAGCAAACATGTGGAGACCTGTAAGTTAGTTGTTCCTGAATACAATTTTAATGAAAAAATATTTTTCTCAGTTTTTGCACATTATGGTTGTGTTTGAGAAATTCAGATATGCAGAGCATGTATCACAGAGAGCCTTTCTCCCAGACTTACTGGTAACTACTCTGTATAGATTAAATCCAACGTCCTTTTGAAGTCAATACAAATACTCTTTTTATTGTCACTCTCCTATGAGTAGGTCCATGCCTTAAAAACTGATGGTGGGGGGTGAAAGGGGTCACCTACATTCTGTTTGGCTATACAGATTAGGTTTTTTGGACCGTTTGGCATTAGACACTGATTCATGTGGCTTTATCCTGAACATATTTATTTATGAAGAAAGCCATAACAATTTTAGGATGGTGTTTTCCATTGCCCTTTGTCATTAAAATGATGTTCTGAGCAGTATGTATGTCGTTCATGCAAATTCTGTATATAGGATTATAGAAAAGCAGGTTTGGAAGGGGCTTCACAAGGTCATGTAGTCCAGCCCTCTGCTCAGGACAGGATTATCCCTGACTTGACCATTCTAACCAGGTGTCTGTCTCATATGCATGCCCCCACACATTTCAATTCTGAACAGAATGGAGTAAATTGATTTCCACAAATAATTTGGCATTTTTTTTCCTGGGGGTGAATCATTGATAAGCAATCTGTGTCATTCTGAGATTTGTTCACTGTTCAGGAGAGTGAATGTCTTGATAGATGGCTCCAGATCATTGCTAACTACAAAATCTTATGCCTCTCTAAACCAGTTAGTTTCTAATGTGCCACCCTGCCCTGCTTTCTGCCCGAGTTCAGAATAACTACCTCTCTTTACATCATTTGTGAACATTTGCTTGAGACCATTTAAAAATGGTACTTTTGGTCGGTTTCTAATCATGTGCTGTTGTTACTATTCTGAGAATAAATGCTCTGATTCAGTAAAATACTCACAGGATATTCCTGTTCAGCAAAGTGTTTCCCTGTTCAACAAAGCAGTTCATTATGTCTAGGGACCTACCTAAACTGTGGTGAGAGAAAGCAGTTTGCTTCCTCAGTCAAGCACATGGTGGGTCCTACTTTATGAAGCATGTTGTGCAGGGTGGTGGAGGTGGGTTGTATTTTTTGCCTGATTAAAAACAGCTGCGTCAGATTAAGCAGGAATTTGATGCATTTCCCTCTGGGCCTCTTTGTGGAAGTCAGTTCACATGTAGATTCCCACTGAGTTTAATGGGAGTTGCGCAGCAAAAGGAGGCTGCAAGATCAGGCCCCTAATGCATTTTAGGACATCTTGAGGTAGGTGTCACAGGTATAAATATTACATAATTTTATAGCATTCTTCAGTGCTGATTCACTGCGATTACTAGGCGATGACTCTAGCAAGACTAGTCTGTTGACCTGAAATTTATCTGACATGAATTTGTCCAGTGACCAATGCATGCTTAATGATTATTTCTGTTAGATACGTGTATTGCACATCCTTCAATCTCTTCATATGAAGAATTCGGACAAACATATGAATGGTGAAGGCTGAATGTATTTCCAGTATTATAATACTTTATTCTGGATGAATGGTCTGAGCAAGAGGTTTAGGCAGACACTAAAACACAACCATTTGCAAACACTGTTACATCCAATTAGGATATGAGTGATAGATGTGATATGATCATATAGTACACATCACACATACATGATATAGAGGTGACTATGGAAAATACTCACTTTTCACTTGATTCTGCTTCCTTTTGACTTGTGCACACCATTGGTGCATAGCAGGGAAGTAGGTACTTGTGTTTAGTGGAAGGAATTTATGCTCACAGACACAAGCATTTTACTTAGAACAATTGTCACAGACTGCTGAGTAAATTGACAGACAAGCAATACAATGATGCATCAAACATTTTATGAATCTAGGCTGACCTCTCAGCCTTGTTGAAATCAATGGTAATTGTGCCATTGACCTCAGTAGGGCCAGGGTTTCACCCCTGGCTTCTAATACTTGTGATTCATAAGTTGGTTAGTGCAAAACTAGAATATGATGCATTAAACCAAGCATCCTATTCCCTCATGCAACCATGTTTTAACTAATGCAAGAAATTAGAAGTATCACACAAGTGTTTCGACAGGGATCTGGGAGGAGATTGACAGACGTGATTTAAAAAATATAGGAAAAGGTCATCAACGAAAACTTCTATCGCTAATTATTGAAGTATTATAATACAAATGCTATCCATAAGGCAAGCTTGTGCTAGTGTTTTACATGTAACATATTTGGAATAATAATTACAGTGCAAAAGGAAGAAAAAAGGGTTTGGGATTTTTTTGAAGATGATTATTTTTTTAAGAATAACCACAATACTAAACCTATTGTTGAATATGAATAACTTGTGTACTCGTATTTTAAATATTAAGAATCGAATGAGGGAATTATATTACAGTCTATTACTATAGACATCACTGAGAAAAATACTGCTAAATTTACACCACTGCTAGGATTCTGTAAGCCCTCATGGAATTTTTGTATCATCTAGTTCAGATGTGTTTTATGTCGGTGTCATTTTGGTTACTCATAACACTTCCTTGTGAAACAAAAGTGCATGTTTGCAACAGCTGGAAGTAACAACCAGCGCTACAGTAAACTGAGGTTTTCATTATTCAGTGCGAGTCTCTCACTGTCTGCAATAAGCTAATAAAAAGACTTGAATGCTCCTCAGTGGTTCTGATTGTCAAGTTTCAGGAAATGGGACCAAGTCCTTGAATCAATTAGCTTTACAAAAATGAAAGCAGTGAAATGTGTAAATTCTGTTCTAATTGACACGTGTCTTGAATGTCAGTGAAAACTTTCAGAAGGGAGCTGATGTACGGTATTTAAAAACGATACTACGTACAATGAAGTGGTTGTTACTTATTGCATGTGTGAATGTTTCTAATATGTGACAGCATGAGTAACACTTGACATCTTAAATCAATTGTAGATACTCTACTGGTAACTGACATATGTCTGCTGTACTTACTAACAAAAACCAATTTGGTTAGAGGATTTTGGATTTGTGTTCATTCTTCCCTTGTTCAAACTTCCAAAGCACAGGTTTAATATTGCACAGCTATGTTTTGCAGCAATACTTTACCATGAAACAACATTTGTTGACTTACATTTTGTACAAAACATTTTTTCTAAAGGCTTAAGCTCCAGTAGAGTCACTACAACTAAAATATACCAATTGCATAAACAATGAATAACGGGTTTTCCCCACGTTTGGGTAACATTTCATCATAATTGCTCTTTTTCGGGGAACACTATCATTGCCTATTAAATTTGACTCAAGAATGGCAATGGCTTTGCTGCTCAGTTTAATTACATTCTCCATTCGATTAACATATGTCAGCTGCCTCCTGGAATCCTAGCATTCTGCCCACCTGTGATGTCATAGTAAGGAGGGGCTTTTCCTCTGCAGACTCCTCCCTCGGTATCTCCTTCATCACCATGGCAACAGCCTTATCTGCCGCCCTAGAGCCTTTCCCCTACAACAGTGAAATCAACAATGGCTTGTGTCAGGAGGAAACTTTTTATTACTGATCACAAAATATATACCCCAGAACAATCCGTTAATTAAATGACGGTGTTAAGTGCTGGAAGTAAAGCTTTTAGAAAATAAAATACACAAACACTGTAAAAAAAAAAAAAATATATATATATATATATATCCATGAACCTGTTAAATAATCATTGTGGCGGGGCCTAACTCTGTAGCCTTTGCTCATATGAGCTGCCCCACTGAAGTAGATAGGGCCTGCACGTCGCCCTGATCATGCGAGGCCTTTTGGGAATACTTCAGAGAGAGCCGAACGATTTGAGCATCTCACAGGGTTGACCAGGATCTGCGGGATCGGGCCCTTGGTTTGTTCACTGCAAAGTAACTGTGGTTAACTGACATTTCACAGCTGATAGACACCAGGATAAGCTTTCTGCTAAAATGAGAGACTGAACTGCATTTCCAAATAAAGGGACAGATCCTTGTGGTTTGTTTTCTCTGGCAAACTTTCCTTGACATTAAGTGGAAATTCAGGTTGTAGGACTGGGTTGAAAATGTTACACAGGCCCAGAGCTTTTAAAATCTTCGATTTGAAATATTTTTATGAAGTAGGTCACGTGGCATAAGCAAGGTCATGGCTTCATTTATAGAGCCGAAGGAGACATATTCTGCTATCTTTGACAGTGGGGTAAATGTCACTGAAAGCAGTCATTTTGATACAGAATATGGCAGGAAGGATTTTTATTACGTGACAGTTTTTTTTAAATGCACTGGACTTTAAGTATTGAGAGGACGTTAAAGCTCTTAAAACGAGAAAAATGATGAGACCTAAATCAAATAAATCTATTAATTTTTTGAAAGATGCTAGGGCTCTGAGGAATCCATCTTACAGAAATACAAAGTGCAGGGACATACCTGCAGACTTAAGAGGAAGAACATACGTGAAGTGTATAAAGCCTTAAAATCTGGAGAACAGAAATAGAAACCTTTACTGGCTTTTAAAAATTCCAGGCTTTTGAGTTTTTAAGAATCAAAAACATACTCCCACTGACTACTTTGGGAATTGGATCTGGCCCCAAATCATTATAGGCCGGTTTCCTCTAGTCTGTGTTTTGCAGAAGCATAACCTACTAAAATAAAAGTTTGAGTCTCTTTAAGTATTAAAAACCTAAGAGCAAAATTTTCCTTTTGGATCAGTGTGACAGATGGTGGACCTCTGCTGCTCTGCTCTCCTTATAGGCTCAAACAAATGTCAATAGGTGTCTTCAGTGCGCCAGCAGAGCAGAATAGCAGAGTCGAATTTTCTTTGCGACTCAGCTCGGGTATGTGCTCACTGTTCTTAGGTTCACAAAACTCCCATTGAAATCAGTGGGAAACTGGGATGCACAAAGACTACAGAATCTGGCTCCATGGCAACAACATTTTACTATACACTTAACTATATTTCATTAACTAAGAGCCTTATTAGATTTTTCATTGAAGCACTGTTCAGGGAAGGATGCTGTTTATTAACACTGAACTACATAATGTAGCTCTTAATATCAGAAATACTGTATTCTGTATTCCAGCAATGAGAATGTACTTAACATTGCAATTTAACAACAGTTGAATGATCAAAACAATGGCAAATGAGCTTTTTTGTGCAACATATCACAGTCACCCTATGGAGAGGTCTTTGCATGCTGCAAGAAGTTCTCATTCCGTGTCATTAAACATAGGCATGCTGCATTTATGATTCCTTTGATATCCAAAGAATGGCAAAAGACACTGCAAAACTGGTTTGGAATCGTTTGATGAGAACTAAGTTCCAGTTGCTAAGCATATCAAAGGTTTTGGCCAAATCTGTATGTACTCTGTTCACAATCCATATGGTAGGTTACAATTCCATGAAGATATTTTCTTATGATATGTGGAACAACTATTCAGCTAGTACTAGTAACATGCTACCTGACGTTCAGAAAATTCAGTCCTTTTGCACTGAATGCTAAAACGAAGAAGGTTATCAGCTAGAAAGGATGCATAGGAAAGCATGCAGTGCTTTTTATTTCTTGTGCAGAAGAAACCCACCAAAGCAAAGGTCAGGTCACTTTTTTGAAGACAGAGCCACTTTTTCTTCAAGGTTTCACCTACTGCCTGAAAAGAGTCATGATACTTGCATTAGTGCCTGCTACCAATTTTTTAAAATATAACCCTGTGGGTGGTTGATACACACCATGTGTCTTATCACTTTAAAGGACAGAAATTACACATAAACTGGAATAAGTGATCGGAAACTAGTTCAAATCCGTAACACAACAGAAGTTCAGTGGACATAAACCTCTTTCAAGATGGCCACAACCATTTTAAGATGAACCTGGTTGCTTGTAGTATCAGACTTAACTGATTTAGGTTAAATCCATTGATTGAACTTCTCTCCCAGATCCCCTCCAGATTCAAGTTAACTCACAGTCCCCCAGCCTCCCAGGATGCTTTGCACCTCCCCCATAAACCCTCCCTTACACGGTGGGCAGGTGGCCAAGCTGTCTGCTTCAGCCAAGAAGGAAGGTGTGCTCTAGTGCCCCCACACTTCTGTTTATTTGCTTATCACTTCAATCTACACATTTTAGATTAACCCGTGAGGATTTAATCGATTCAGCCTTGGGATTCTTGACTGTCTCTACTTAGCCAAAAACCCTGGCCATAGTTACAACAGCAATTTAATGAAAAGGACGTTTCGGGAGACTATATTCCTTTACGCTTAGTGACTTTGTATCACACATGCTATGTTTGCAAATCAAAAGAAAACATTTCAAATGAGCTGCAACATAAACAGAGTGTATGTGAACCAAGCTCATTTATATTTGACGAATTAATGATGCACAATAACAATTTTGGAATCAGAACTTATCTGGCAACGAAGTTAATCCTAGGAAAGGAAGACTACAATATAGCAGCTAAAATCTCCAGGGGTTTTAGTGCGTGGAAATGCAGGTACTCGGTACCTCTGACAGTCCAGTCACCAACTCACATCCCTGAAAATAGATGTTGGTGCCTAATACGTGTATGAATTTTTGTGTATTCTAAAGTGTTGCCTGTCTGTTAAATTTGGCATCAGTACCTCCGTTGGCAGGAGCGTGGGGCAGAAGTTAGACTGTGTCTGGCATGTAGGTGGGCAAGAATAGCTTTCTATCCTCTCTGCAACATAAACAGTTTGTGAACTGCATCTGAAATAGTTATCTGTCGAGTTCTCATGATAGCAGTCCAAATACAATGATTGCTGGAACCAAACTCAGGGAAGAAGTGTGTTTACAAATGCGCACTGCTTATTTACTTGGCTGCCTTCATTGTGCAGCACTGTGTCTCAGCATTTTGGCTTGCTGTATGTATTTTGCCTGTTACGGTAGCTTGGTGCTCAAACACTGTAATTCTGGAACAGCTCATTTGGCACTTGCCAGTTCCACATAATGAACAGTTACTCAGAAACCCGAGGTAAATTATTTTGTTATATATGTAGCATTTTGATAACTCCGTGAATGAGTTTCACAAATACCTCTTTTGTCTGCAGCGTGCATGATGATGCAGAACATGCAAAGCTGCATATCAAGCAAGGATCGTGCCGAGAATGAAAAGGTGTAAGGAAAAGGTGTGACTGGGTTTCAGACAGTATGCTGTGGCAGTAACATTGAGTAACATGTCAGTGCTTTGTTATCTGCTACAACTAACACTGAGCCATTCCTTTTAGGAGGCATCTCGAAAAGAAGATAAGAAAGAGAGTTTAAAGAATTTCCTCCAGACACTGAGGCCAGTGAAAATCTTGCTACCAAAATCTTCAGGTCTGAGAGAATCAATAGCAATAGCCATTTCATTCTCAGGTTTGAGAGAATCAATAGCAATAGCCATTTCTACAGGGATGTGAAAACATCTGCAAACCCACCCTGGCGGATTCTTCAGGGAAATCTACTGTACGCTGTTTTAGCAGCTGGTGTTTCTGAATGGAGCCAAAGTAAATTCAGTACCAGTCACAGTACTTCTAAAAGATGCGTACTTGCTAATGAGGTTTTAATTGAGGTATTGTAAGAGAACATTAATTTAAGGTTCAGGACAGCATGAGGTTCCCTGAGTGAAAATGTACAGTTTGGCTACTTTATTCACACATGTATAAAATTACCCCCATGCTTTGGGTATCTGAACACAAGGTCCTTTTCCACAGCTGACCACGTGATGCACAATAGATTTATTATTTAAAATATTTGAAGAGCTCATGAACCATTAATTTTCAATATCCTGTAATCAAACTGAAGAGTTGGGCTGTGTTGCCTAGTTGTATAAGTAACGAGACATTGTTATTGTTCCTTAATTGGGTGTTTTACATCACAGTGCAAGCTCTAATCTAGTATGTAATGTGAAATCTGTTTTAAGTGAATATTGAAGCATTTGAACTTCACAGTTCATGAAAGTTAATTTTCATGACTGTGTGCGCTGATGAAAATGGGGATTGGCAACATGCCTGGATTGGTAAGGACTGTGGGGGCTTTTGCCTTCCTCTCTAGTGGTGGGGCATGGTGTTCTGCCTGGGAACTTTTGAGCATATATTGAAAACATTTCATCGAAGCAGGACATTGGCTGCTGTGGTTCCCCTACTTTACCTGTTAGGTCTATGTTGTGTCAGGGTTGAGGGCAGTTTTATGTAGAGTCTAGATTATGCTTGTATGGGATGGTTTGGATAAGGATGATCCTGCCTCAGGCAGGGGGTTGGACTAGATCAGGGATGTCTAACCTTTTTGAATGTGGGGCCGGATCATGAACTTTTTATCACCCTGTGGGCTGGTGAGCCATATTCAAAGACCTCACAGGAAGTGGTATCACATCAGGAAGTGATGTCATGTGACCTTTGACACCAATGAAGTTGCAGGAAGTGAAAATGAAATGGGTCTGGAAATGTGGTTTAAAATCCAAAATAAAAACAATATAAAAGCAAGAATGAAATAATACCAAACACTTGAC